ATGTACTTGACGTTTCTCAGCATGACGCAGCGGTGCTGCTGCGTTCAGTGCTGACCTTCTCCCCTGCCCATGCTCTGCGCTGGGTTTCTGAGCGGCTCCAAATCCGGGCTGCGGTGACACAAACTCCCAGCCAGTGTCTCCGGTTTGGAAAACTTGCCTTCTGTCCTTGTCAGGGAGGCTTGAAACTGCCCCCACTGGCTGAGCAACCCAGGCCGTCCTGGTGGGTACTGAAGGAGGCTGCGGGCTCGGATGTCTTTACACTCGAGTCTCCTGGCTGTCTTCGTCGGCAAACAGTTGAAACCCGGGGGAGCAGCAGGCGGCAGAGAATTCCCGCTGCGAATGAACCATTTCCTCGGCCCCACAGAACTCAGGGGACCGCAGGTGCCCGCGGCCTCAGGCAGGGGCCAGGGGCGGGGCCGTCGCCTCAGAACTTTCCCGCCTCTCCGCCGAGAGCGGCGCTGGGATTGGGCAGGGCACGCCCGGCGCCGATTGGCGGCGCTTCCCGCCGCAGCAGCCGATTGGCTGTCGCTCTGCCGGCCGGGGCGGGCTCTGGGCTGGACTGGCAGGAGCGCCCCGGCAGGGGGGGGGCGGTTGTCATGGCGGCGGCCCAGGCCCGGCCCTGCCGCGGCCTGCGCTGTCAGGCGATGGCTCGGGGGGCTCCGGGCCTGCCCTCACAGCCCGCCCCGCCGGGCCGCTCGGGGTAGCGGCAGGAAAACTCCCTGCCCAAAGGGTTCTGCCGGCCGGGCTCGGCAGCAGCAGGGCGCCGTGGCTTGGTGGCTGGCTCTCTCTGCTCACAGCCCGGGGCCGGGGTGCTGAGGGCCGGGAAGCGCAGGCGGGGGTGCTGCTTGTGCTGAGGGAAAACAAAGCAAGGGAGAGCCCGGCCCCAAAAAGCAGGGCCGTGCTTCCGCAATTGCTCACGGCAAGGCAGCCTGCTTACAAGAACAAACGCTGCCTGAGGCTGGCATCAGGCTTCAGAGCACAGACAGACGGCTCTGTGCCCTCACACCACGGAGTCAAGCTTTGGAAATGTGGCTTGAGACCCCCCAAAGGAGGCTTCGGGCCCTGGAAATGAGGGTTTGCACCCTAGAAAGGAGGTTTAAATCTTCAGATACAATGAACTCTTGAGCCCTAAAAAATAGGGTTTGGACCCTGGAAATGAGGCTTTAAATCCTCACAAAACCCTTAAACTGAGGTGTTGGTCTCTGTAAAGGAAGTGGCCCTCAAAATTCAGGTTTGGAAAATGAAAACGTGGCTTTGGCCCTCAAAATTCCAGAGCTGATCCTAAGAATGAGGTCCCTGTAAAACAGACTCCAAGGACTGAGGCTTTGTGCCCTAAACACGAGGGCTGAGCCTCAACAAATGAGCTGGACCTTCTGTCCCTGGGGGTGGCCAACAGTGTGGCCAAAGGGGGCACCTGGGGATTAAATGGGATAAACGTGGAGAGAAATAGGAGGATAAAGAGCCCCAGGTCTAACCCAGGTGGAAGAAGAAAGCCCAGCCCAGCAGAGCTGTGCTCAGCCTTGCTCTCTCCTTGCTTGGCTCTGGGTGTAAGCTCAGGTGTCTCCCCCACCACCTGCACGTAGGTGCCCTCCACCCATCCTCGGCTGCACTCGCCTCCTCTCCTTTCCCCTCCAGGGACATTCTGACCTTTGCGACGTCATTCCCATTGCCTGCCTGCCCTCTCTTGCCCCCCAAAGCCCGTTTCTTCCCCCAACAGCCATGGCAAACGTTCCCGGGGAAGGTCCCTGCCATGGGACCACGCTGGGCTGATCTCAGCACCACTGGACAACTGCCAAAACCTTCTCCCCCGGCTGTGGTTGCGACCGATTAAAAAAGTCAATGCTCTTCTGCAACTTTCCATCTTTATTTTTAATCCTCTCCTTCCTGATGGCTCCAGCCAGGGCCTCTCCGGCCCGGGGAGGTCTGCTCCTCAGCGCGAGGCATCGCGGGCAGCCGGGTCCCCTCGTCCCTCCATTGGTTGCCCCAAAGCCCAGGTGTTCATCGAGGGGCTCCTCGAGCAGCTTGGCCTCGGAGTTCCACGGCCGGAATGCAGCACCGGTCAGAACTTCTGAGGAGGAAACTTCACAGCACTCTCCATATTACCCTCCGTCGTGGCCATTTGCGCCCATCGCAGGAGGCCTCCTCGGGCAGGCTGGCCTCAGAGCTCGTGGTCGACATAACAGCTACAACAGGTGTGCCCACGTACGAGTCCTCCTGAGGAAGGAAGGGCTTGCCTTTCTGGTCCTTTGAAGCTCCCAGAATTTTTGCCAGCATTTGTCTTCCTTTTCCTTCCCATACTTCTCCTTCCCATCCTCCTCCTTCACCTCGCCATCCTTCTCCTTCACCTCTCCATCCCCCTCCTTCACCTCTCCATCCCCCTCCTTCACCTCGCCATCCTCCTCCTTCTCCTCTCCATCCCCCTCCTTCACCTCGCCATCCTCCTCCTTCTCTTCTCCATCTTCCTCCTTCACCTCGCCATCGTCCTCCTCCCCATCCTCCTCCTTTTCCTTCCCATCCTTCTCTTTCTCCTCGCCATCCTCCTCCTTCTCTTCTCCATCCTCCACCTTTTTCCCGCCATTCTCCTTCTTGTTGTCCTCGTCCCCATCCTCGTCCTTTTCCTTGTCCTCCTCCTCTTTTTTCTTTTCCTCCTCCTTCTTTTCCTTTTCCTCCTCCTTTTTTTCCTTTTCCTCCCACTCCTTCTCCTCTTCTGCAGCTCTGAGCCTTTGCTGCCTGCGCTTCAGTTTGGGTCTGCTTTGATGCTCGGTCTTTGAGCGCAGCTTTGCCCTTGGCTTGCCCAGTCCCCGGCTGCTTTTCTCCAGAGGAATCCTCCAGGATCACCGGCTGCTGCCTGGAAGGACACAACGGCAGAGAGGTCTCTACCTGAGGACACGCTGGGTTTGGGGCCGCATGCTGCCCCCCATGACCCTCTTTGTGCCTCTGTGAGAAAGGAAACCCCCTGAGCTGTCCCCGTGTCCCCAGGCCCCGCTGGGCCTCTCCTGAGGGCTGGAAAAGATCCAGCTCCGTGAAACTGGGGGCTCCCATTAGCCCCATCCCACCCCTCCAATGGGCGGTGATGGATGACAAATGCTCGGGGCTGGGGAACGGGCTCTGGCTGGGTCAGAAAATCCTAGTTTGGGTTAAAAGTGACCTTTAAAGGTCCAGCGCCACCCCCGCCATGGCCAAGGACATTTTCCACCAGAGCAGGTCACTCCGAGCCCCGTCCAACCTGACCAGGAATGTTCCCAGGAATAAGGGGGCATCCACCACCTCTCTGGGCAACACGACCCTGTGCAGACCCTCAGCCCTGAGCCTTCAGCCTTACCTGACCAAAGACTGGATCTTCCTCCTCTTCTGCCCAGTGATCTCCTGGAACTGTGGCGGTTCCTCGTCAGGCGGTCTTGGAGCAGCAAACCCAGGACACCCCACTGGAACTGGGAGGAGAAATCTCGTCAGAAGAGCATCGCTGGGATGCTGCCATCCCTGGTGACACACAAGGGTGCTCCAGCTCCTCCCCAAAGGTCCAAGAGGGCCATTCCGTTCCCTCGCAGCTGCCATCGCAGCCTCTCTGCCCCCAGTGCCCCATTACAATAGTGTTGTGACGGCGTCGTCAGCTCCCGCTGTGGGAAAGGGGAGCGGGGAGGTGACAGGGACTCTTCTGGGGGGGTGTTTCTTGTCGGGGGGGAGGCAGCCTTGGATCACCACCCTCCCACCTCACCCCTGGGCGCATCCCACCCCGTGGCTCCGTTTGGATGAAGCCAACGTGTCGTTAGGACAAACGGCTGTGCCGAGCTGGGGGATGCTCTGGCACAGGTCAGAGCCCTTTGACACTCAGCGCTGGAGATTTCCAAGTGAAGTGACAGAATTTGGTTGGGGGCACTGTGGAAAGGAGCCGGGAGCTGCTTTACCTTGTCCAAGAGGTGGCAGAAACTCACTTCTCCTCTTCTCGTTCTCGCCAGGGACTTGTCTCGAGGTCTTAAGAGCTCTGGGAGGTGGTTTGTGCACAAACTCCATTTCAAGCCTGGGAACGAGGAGAACACACCGCCGTGACCCAGAGCACCACCAGCCCTTGCCGCTCGCCGTGCTCACTGGCAGATTTTGGCATTGCCCTAAAGGCTGTTTTTTTCCCCAGCTCTACTGTGTTTTCTCCCCAAGTCCACCATGCCCCATCCCCAAGGACAGTCCTGAGAAAAGGAGTCACCCAGCAAAGAGTCCAGGCCCCCATGGGCAGGAAGTGTTGCCTAAATTCCTCGGTCCTACCCATCAAATCTGCCTTACGGGAGCGACCATGGCCCGGGGACATCAAGAGAGGCTGCCAGGTGTCCTCATGGGATGACACTCATGGACTCACAACAAGCAAATGTCACCTTGAGAGCGGCTAGCGCCGTCAACGTACTTACTCAGGAAAGATGACGACATGGCCAGAGAAACTCAGGGAGGCCACAGGTACCATCTGGGACACCACCATGTCCAGCAGCCGGGGGACCTGCAGTGGAGGAGCAACAAGATGGTGGGACGTCCTCAACATGGCTGTGAGGCCGTATTGGTGGAGCCTGAGGCAGGGAGAGTTGGTAGGACCATCAACTCTCACCTGGCCTTGTCCTGCCAGGCCACCGCCATGGGACTGCCCATGCGCACCATGCAGAAACAGACCTGCTCACCTTGAAAATCACTTTTTCTAAGTTCTCCTTCCCAGACAACCTCTCCAGGAAGTCATAGTAGAACTTCATTTCTATGTTCTTGCCTTCAATGAGGAGCACTCCAATGTCCTTCAGGACAAAGGCGATATTCTCCCCCTTCCCCAGGCAGTAAGAGAGGAGGGACATGGTGCCCTGGATGCAGCCCATCGCTTTCTGCCGGGACACTGAGGCGGCTGCGGCCACCTTGGAGTATTTGAGGGGCTCCAGCTCCTTGTTGCCTGAAAAAAAAAACGAGAGGGATGGAGACGGTCAGCCAGTGGCCCTTCCAAAGACACTTCCTGAGGCTAAATGATTGTTGCCTTGCCCAGAACAACAAACCCCCAAATTTTTGGCTCTGCTCCACAGAGGGGGAGTCGCTTCTGAGAAGTTCTCAGCCCCAGGGATGGGACGTGATGACCGTGAGCGAACCGGGGTTTAATCCACCTTCTTACCGGGCAGGTAGGCCTTGATATCCGTCAGGTTTCGAACCGTGAGAAGGTTTCTGGCCAGGTGAAAGACTGGCCTGTGGATAGTCACGGTCTCCTCTCCAACCTGGATCTGTCTGGAGACAGTGTCGAAGTAGCCGAAGGTGGCAATTCGGACACCCTGGAACAGAAGAGAAGGACCGAAGGGTGAGGATGGGAGAGGGAAGAGCTGGCGCTGGCCCTGAGCAGGGATGGTGCTTTGGGATGGATCCTGCCCGCTCCCGCTTGGGGAGGAGACGCTGAGTCCTCCCCCTCTGAAAAAGTCAGGGCAGTAGCAGCCTGGAGAAGAATTTGAAATACAAGTGCTGGTCTATCTGAAAGATATTTCAAGGCCCAGTGAAACGTGTTCAGCACTGAGCGATCTTGTCATGTTACCAAGGCCACCGGGCTCTGCAGGCCTGAAAAGTGTTCTTAGCCTGCTTCTTGTGTAGTCCCGACCCAAGGCTGGGTTAAAACCCAGCCAAGCTAATCCTATGGAGGCAGTTTTAACAAAGGAGGAGGAATTGACTAAACACATGAGTTTTGCTAGATTAAGAGAATTCATGATATAGAAACTGCTCACTCTAGCTAAGCTTTTCAGTCTTTCTCAGAACTGTGCTAGATAACAGTATCATAAATAACTATTAAATGATGAGAAGAGTGGAAGCTTCCAAAGACTTTGGACTTAGGTAATAGATTTAAAAATATATAAATGGTGCGAGTCTGTCGGACATTGGCCACTCACTGAGGGTTGGCCCAACTCTCAAGTTGTCTATAAAGCTAAGGCTAGAGATTCGTTAGCAAGCCCCAGGACATCCAAGGGTTCTCCAGCGGACAGGTCAGCCATGAGTCTACCACCACCTCCCAGAGGCAATACCACCCTTGCACAAGCCCTGTTTGTCCCCCAGCGGGGAATTTTGGGATGAGTTTCCCACTTCCTGAGGAGGGGAAGAGTAACAGTAGGCCATGCCCCAGGGCCATGGGGACTCCCCAGCCCTCTGGACGGACAAGGAGGATGAGGGTGTCACCCCACCTTGTGCAGCAGGAGCTGTTCTTGAATGTAGCTGGCCACCGCGTCCCAGATAGCTCTTCGTTCTGGAAAACAAAGGAAAACCAGGTCACACTCCATGTCCACCAGTTTTCAACCTTCCAACATCCCCCCGAGCTCTGGTGTGTTGGCCGACACCAACTGTCATCACTGTTACCAGGTAGAGACGGCCCTGAGGTGGCTCCAGTGCCGAGTCTCCCCCACACAACCCTCCACCCTCTACGCACCGCAACGCTCTGGCGGTGGCTGTGGGTGCCTGTACCTTCAGCAGTGACACTGGGCATCATGCAGGTGTGCTCCAGCCCATTCCAGTAGTCCGTCACTCTGAGCCTCACGCTGGCAGGATGCTCCTTAGTGGCGACAGCCGGGTGGGAGCTCATCCTTGCTCGTCCTGCGGACGCTCTCTGGACAGCAGGACCCACCGTTCTGTGCTTTCATACCCTCGTGTGTGTGATGTCATAGTCATGCGGTTGTTGGTGAGGACAATGCCCACTATGACGTGGCCACTGCTGATTGGCTGATGATGGTCGGTTGACGGTGAGGTGACCACCGCTGATTGGCTGATCATGGTGACATAACACCCGCTGACCCACTGCCCCGGGGCTGCAGTTAAGCGGCAACCTCCTCCCTGCCTGGTGCCCAGCTGACATACCAGCCCCATCATCCTGTGTTTTCTCCTCAAACCAGCAGACAGCACAGGGAAAATGTGTGCTCTTGTCCATCAGGCCGGCACCAGACGCATGTCCATCACCCATCATGCCAAATCCTGATTTTCATCCTAGCTGCCATGATCACCAGCGGCTCATCCACTCCCTCCCGGAGGCTTCCAGCGGGATGAGCCCTCAGGGGCTGAATTGGAGTGATCCGAGTGAGGTGTCCCAGGGCCTTTGCAGTGATGGCAGCGCAGCGATGCTGTGCTTGATGCATCCCAAGACACACTTGGCCCTTCGGGCTGCCAGAACACACTGTTGACTCCTACTCAATTTGCCATCAGCCCAGACCCCCAAATCTCTTTCTGCGGGGCCACTCTCCAGCCTCTCACCCCCCAGTTTGTGCCTAGAACCAGGATCACCCCATCCCAGGTGGAGAATCCACCAATTGCTCGTGATAAATCCCAAACGTTTGGTGACTGCCCAGCTCTCCCGTCTACCCAGATCTCTCTATGGAATCTTTACCCTTGAGGGCACCCACAGCTCCTCCTACTTTAATACCATTTGAAAACTTAATGTACATTTGACTCCTGTGTCTGGATCATTTATAAAAAAATATCCCTACAGCTGAGCCCTGGGGAACAGCACTGATGCCTGGCTGCCAGCTTGATGTAGCCCCATTTACTACAACTGTTTGAGCCATTTGTGGTCCCCAAAGCTGCATTTTGAGGGCTGAAACCCTAATTTTCAGGGTCCAAACCTGTCTTTTTTTTACCCACAGCCTTTTTCTAGGGCCCACAGTTTCACATCTGGGGTCTAAACCCTCATTTTTAGGGCAGAAAGCCTCTTTTAGAATAATTCAGGTGGGAAACGACCCTGAAGCTCATCCCTTACCCCCTACAGTGACACTGCCAAGGCCACAAAAGCCCATGCCCCCGAGCACCACATCTTCACGTCTTTTCAACACCTCCAGGGATGGTGACTCGACCACTGCCCTGGGCAGCCTGTTCCAGTGCCTGACAACCTATCTGGTGCAGAAATTTTTCCTAATGTCCCGTCTAAACTTTCCCTGGTGCAACCTGAGGCCATTTCCTCTACTCCTATCACTTGTTACTTGGCAAAAGAGACCCCCACCAGCAAGAGTCCAGCCGGGTGCAGGAGCTCTCCATCCGCCTCTTCAAAGACGTGATGAAGACCGCGGTGGGGAGAAACACCAAAAAAATGGTAGAGAACATGCAGGGTGTGGTGCTGCCGCTGTTCTTCCACACCAATGAGCAGATTGAGAGCATGGCCAAGGTGCAGTGATTAGTGACTGGTGTCGCGGGGAGGGGCGTGCTGACACCATGGGGGTGGCCTGGGCATGAGGGAAAAGGGAAATGTGTGTCACCACAGGGTCCCACTGTGCTGGTCCCACCTCCACCGGCCTCCTTCGCCCCTGCTGCCGAGCGGGAGGGAGAGGTGGGGGCCCCCCAGCCCAGAGGAAGGGTCCCTGCAGCCCCAGCGCCAGCAGGGCTGGGGAACTGGGCACAGACATTTCCCTGCTCAGCAGCGGCCTGTGGCCACCGAGCACACGAGTCCCCACGGGCTTTGTGAGCTTTGAGCTGTCATCCCTGTCTCCCAGGGCTGTGCCCAAAGACCCCCGGGTGTCGGGGCCGGCTCCCAGAGCGCGGGATGGCCCCAGGAATGAAGGAGGATCCAATCCCGGGATCACCCCGTGCCCTCAAAGCCAGGCCCAGAGCAGGAGGATGCCAGCTCTCCTTCCCTGGGCTCTGGTGCCATCTCCCAGCCTCTGCTTCTCCGCAGGCTTCCTGGGACACCCTCAGCGCCTGTGGAGACTTCCTGGGCTGGAGGAGGCTCAGCTCCGCGGCCGAGACAGGGCAGACACACCTGATCGGAGAGGGCGAGGTGCAATTCTCAGGGAAACGGCCTTACTTCAATAATTTTTTTTTTTAAATCAAGCTGAGGAGGAGGAGGGAAGCTTTAGCCCATCCTGCTGCTTCCGAGGCATCTCAGGGCAAAAAAAGGCACCCACGCATCAAGCTGGCACGTTGCCGCTTGTCCCAGCACCAAAATCCTCTCCTGTACTGGGGAGCTGGGCTGGTTTTGACCAGGCACTGGTTGGTAGGTTGTCAGCAGTTGGTTTCATTGCCATCACTTGTCCCTCTTAGGTTTCATTACTGTCTCTGCTAATTTTTCCTTGTCATGAGAATTTATTATTATTGTTGTTACTTCAGTTATTAAACTTTTCCTATCTCCACCCACCCTTCCACTTCTCTTCCCCCATCCTGCTGGGGGGGGGAGGTGATTTGTTGCCAAATGGGGTTAAACCACAATACCAAGGGGCAATTTTGCCTTCTCGAAAAAAAATAAATAAATCCCTTTAGTTACCAGCAGTAGCGTTCCCTTACTGGGTGCAAGACAGCAATAGAGAATTAATAGAATCGGTGAATCAGAATAAATCCGGTTCAAATAAACCTTTAATGTCGCCGAGCCCGGCCGTGAACCCAACACTGGCGAGCCCCCCCCTAAACCGTGTCCTGAGCGCCACGTCTACACATCTTTTAAATACCCCCAGGGCTGGGGACGCCACCACCTCCCTGGGCAGCCAGTCCCTGTGCCCACAGCCCTCACGGTGAAGAAATTCTTCCCACATTTCGCCCTGGTGTTGGGAGAACGTGGTAGCGGGGGGGTGAAGGAAGTATCTGAGCAGGGACAGAGAGGGGGTGAGAGAGGGGGGAAGAGACAGAGGAGAAGCGAGGGCTGAAGAAAGGGAAGGACGGAAGAGGGAAAGAGAGGGCAGAGAGGACAGAGCGGGGAGCGGAGCCCGTGTCCCGGGCTGGGGGTGCGTGAGGAGCGCCCAGCTCGCTCCCCACAGACAAGAGCTGCTCCCTCTCCGGGGTGGGGGTGGCCTTTGGTGGCCGCTGCCCCAGCACGGGTCCGCAGCGCGATCTGCAAACAGCAGCTGTAATTCCCACCGGGATCCACTCACCCTAACACGTATCTGCATGCCCTGGTGAGGAATTCCAGGGAAATCGCCCCAAGGAAAATTAGGAGATCTGTCAAAGGGTGGATGGAGGTGGAAGAAGGGGCAGTGGGTAAGGAAAGGGAGTGTGAAGAACAGCCCCTGTGACAACCAGGAGGGGCAGGGACCTGTGAAAGGCTCATTTCTTTAATTAATTATTTATTCACTGCCTGCTGCTTTATTGCTGCCTAAACAGTGCTAAAAAGAAGGGAAGTTGCTGCTGTGGGGAAAAGATTTTTTATTTTTTTACACACATTTTCTTCCTCGCTAGACAGTAGAAACACGGGCACTGACAGACCTGCCTCCGTCACTCTCCTGATCAGGGGCATCTGAAAATTGCGTCTGACGCTTATTCTTCAGTGGCAAAGCCTCAGTTTTCATGTCCAAAGCCTCAGGTTTAGTGTCCGAACCTCACTTGAAGACACTAAAGCTCATTTCAGCATCTGGAGACGCCTGTTTGGTTTCCAAACCTTCATTTATAGGGCTCAAAGTTTCAACCTCAGGGTCCAAATTCTCATTCCTGGGGTTCAAACTCCTCTTCTACAGCTCAAAGTCTTATTTTGGGACTGTTATTCTAAAGGCCCAAAGCTTCATTGTAAGGCTCTAAACTCTCGTTTGTAGGGACAAAGCCACTTCTTCACAGACAAAATCTACATTTAGAGAGTCCCAAGCCTCTGTTTATGGCCCAAAGCATCATTTTTGGTTTCCAAAGTCTTCTCTTTTGACCCCAAAGCACCAATTCTACGGCACAAATCCTCAATTTAATCCTCAGAACCCTCACTTCAGGGAACAAAACCTTATTTTTGGGTCTCAAAACCTCATCTTTACTGTTCAAGGCCTCAGTTTCGGGACACAAGCTTCATTTGAAGGGCTGCAAGCCTCATTGTAGGGCCCAAGGGTTCATTGTTTCTGAGGAATTAAAGCCTCATTTCTAGGGTCCAAACCGTAACATTTAGGGCCCAAGCGTTGATTACTTGTGAGGATTTAAAGCCTCATTTCTAGGGTCAAAACCCTAAATTTCGGGCTAAATGCCAGGTATCCACCAAGTCCATCTATCACTTCCCCCCCCCACCTTTCCCCTTGTTTTCTCAATAGGGTAAAGAGAGGATGTCACCAAAATCCAGGATAAAAATAACTTATGGACACCAATGTGATGCAGAAAAGCAGACACTTCTTTATTGACGGCCGGACGTGTAGGGGAGTGCTCTCACCAACAACACGTGCCAGGCACCAGAATCATACATCTTATATAGAACTCACTCATACATATTCATTAAGTCTTCATACATAAGCATACAACTTCTAAGAAATCATTAACATATTCTCCTCCTACTTCCGATTCTGCGCAGTAAAGGTTAGAAATGTCTAGAAATGGCTCTGGGGTGTAATGGGAGTAGGTGGTCCGTGAGTCGGGGGTCGCGGTCTCCCCCTGCCGGAATTACCTTTTGCTGAAGGACACGGTTTTCTTGGCAGGTACCTGCAAGCTGTTACGGTTACTGCCCTCAGTTCCCATTAATCCTGCACCTTGACAACTACTTGCATTCTTCTAGTCCTATGTATGTGTTCTAAATCAGTTTACAAATCACCTCGTGTTTTGTTACCTAGGTTCTAACCGTTCCTACTAAACAATTATGACCCGTCC